TATATATATATATATATATACACACACACATACACACACACACATATATATATATATATATAGGTCCAATGAAAGCCTTTGTGCATTCCCTGGTTCACCACTAGTCTTTGGTAGATACCCCATACTGCAGTCTTCACATCTATTTAACAATTCTGTGTGTTTGCTTTAACCCACCACCAGTCTGTGGTGGTTAATCTGGTGTGTGCTCTCCTACCGCGACAAACCCCACGTCCGCCTGTGTGTAGCCGCCATCGCCCTGGCAGGCGTTTTCATGGCGTTCGAAGTGTTCGATTTCGCGCCTCTGTGGGGCCATATCGATGCCCACTGTCTGTGGCATTTTGGTACTGTGCCTGTGGCTATTCTGTGGTACCGGTTCCTGATCTTGGATGCCCAGCAAACCGTCGATGTAGAGCATGGGGATTGAAATTCTATTTATCAACACTACGCACCTATGAAGATATATGGGACGGCAACACCTTTTTATATGAACACGCAAGCAAGCAGAGGTATCACAAGCCTAGCTGACAGCTTACGGTTGTACTACTGTGATCGTGTAGTTAGCGTTAAGACATTTTTGAATTCACTCAAATAGTCGCATACTGATATAGAGATTTAGGCAATGGAGAACCCTGGGGGGCGCTGTACGTAGTCAGTATTCTACACAATGATCGATAGTTTAAGTGAAAAAGACATTCTTGGCATTTCTGAAGGGTTCGAATTCGCACCAGTCTCAACGCAAGTTCGTGACTGATACCCACTCGGCACCCAAAGCGTGGATCCATTAGGTGTAGCCGCCGCAGGCTGGCACCTAGTAAGTATGTGCGAGTGTGTACCATGAGCTTACTGGGTAATAGTCGAGGAAGCTCTTGAGTTGATCAAATTGAAACGGGAATGTACCTGGTTTTGAGCGGCCGGACCGGATGCGTGACTGTTGCAGCTCGCATACGAATCCAAGCGGCGGATCCAGACACGCACGTACCCACAAGCACACAGTGTGACTTAGCTGAAGTAAAGGTCTCCATCTCGGAGTAAATTGGGTAAAGAATAAGCTAGGAAAGTGCGATAGTATAATCAATCAGTGTGTTTCATAGATATCTAGTTGTATTTTGTTACCCACTTTGCACAGGAGCAACGTTGTCAAATTTTATAGTTATTTACCAATAATCGTACCACCTATTGACACGTGACCTCGTATGCCGTGGAACATATACACGCGTGTAGCTTCCGCGATTGCTGTGTGTGTATGTCTCTTGAAGGCTCACTGGAAGTACGTACACGTATCACTTTTCCGACGATATTTGGGAACTTTCCGGTTGGTAAGAGGCTAGATAGCTCAACTGAGATAAGTGATGCATCGCTTCGAATATTTAAATACACACGGAACCCTCTACACGGCAGAATTCCCAGAGACTGCTATGAGGATAGGTGATGAAATAAGTCCACAAGCACAAAGCCAGTGATTTCACTGATACATCAAGAAATGGTGCGGGTCACGCACTACACCAACACTGCTGCCCACTTTCCCTTTTAATCATATACGTGAAACGTAAGGTAAAAACGGAGAAGTGGATTATTGATGGAGGACAGATTGAAAGTTACATGATACTTTCGTTATATGATGTTCAGAGGAGCGACTCTGAAGCAGAGATTGTGTGCACCTTTTACCGTTTTCGAAAACATCGTTACCCTATCGGACGGGGCATAAGAAAACCTGTTCTAAACACGGAGAGCCACTTATAGGAGTCCTTTAGTACTTAAATGATGCCATCTCTCAAGGTCTCCCGATTGCATCTATTGATTGACTGGTAACCACCCCAAGGTTCGAGTGCGTAGGCATACTGGAACCGAATCGTAGTCAACGTTGTCACTTCCCTCAAAAAGCATATTCTGAGCACGGGGTGTTATATCACTAAAGCATTTTTACAGACTACAAGTGTATCATTCAATCGAATCGAATACGCGCCCTAGTCTTGGCCAGAGAGATCGGTATCATGGGTATCAGGCCAGTATCCACTAAACATTGGGAGAGTGGTACGTGTATACAAGCATAGTGGGGAGGTAATACACGGCATGGAGACCAAGTCGAAAGCGGTTATGCATCGCATTACGAGCTGCGCAGTTCAGGCAGGGACATATATACATACATATCATTGTATATACTCGTCTAAGAATGCTACCAATAGCTAGTCCGCCATACCGCGCCAAGTCTCCACCATACCGTCACTCTCGAATTGACTAGAAGTATTATATGACAACCCAGACCCAGGAGACACCCACACCAACCTCCGCATTGTCTCGTAGGTAAAAGCAGACGACTCCAAACGATCCCCAGAGCGGCTGCAAATTTTACACACCGTTGTGCAGGTTGTGCGCATTCACATATAGATACCTCTGTACACTATTAGACTAGCCGTCCCTCTATTTCAAAAAATAGATCGATTTGCACCAGATTTGAACCATGGTAGCTTGAGGCACATTTTACCATCGATGCTGACAGCGTCAGAATCATCCCGATACAGAGCTACGCAGTCACGACCGTTTCAGACAAATCTCGTAGTGGACTGGAAGTGTTTATAGAACTGACTTTTCTCCACGGATCCAAGTTTACTACAGTTGCCGATATCGGCAAGAGAGAAGATGGGCTTGATATACGAGATGCGACTTGTGCCTCCCGCCAATTGGCTACATATGTGTGAATGTATCTGGCAAATGCCACCAACGATAGGTTCACGCTGCGCTACAGCAGCAGTAGTAAGTATACTTTTCGGTACCATTCAAGATGGTAGAGGTATTGATGACACTGGTGTTCGGCTGCATGGGTATAGTTCAAACTTAGTATCTGCCCAGTAGTACGCCCGGTATCCAATTCGTGTTAGCCAGTAAATTAACAGGTATGAGTGGTACTATGCCAAAAGGCCAAGACTTCCTCAAAGGCACCATTCCGTAGGAGCATGTGTGCAATATATTACTATCCGAGATGTTCTACATCTTGTAATAACATTTTACGTTGTCAAAGGTATGGTCCATCATTGAGTAGCCGGCCAAGTTATGCCATACGAGTGTGTGACAATGGCTATAGACAATCAAGTAGAATTACATGCCACAGCCAGTGGCGAGTGCACTTGAACTACAATGCGTGAGAGATGTGCTACACACCTCCACAGCGGAGAGTATTCCAACGGCAACCTTCGTAAATGTCAACTTGTCTTGCCATTCTTTGTACCAAGCCTACTGCGTTTAGGTGCCACTGTCTGCGAACCCTCGCCCTCGAGTGCAACAGTTGCACTGCGTGTCGCCCGCCCACCCTTCCCTCTATATCCGCTTTGAGTACTATATGAGTGCGACGTAGAAGCTGCGCTAGTCTGTATCCCAGCCCCTTTACGTTCTATATGTGTTTTTGCTTGTAGAGATTCAGTTGCAGTCTCTCCCGTTTTCTCTTGCCCATGATCGCTCGTAAAGGCTTGGCTAAGGCGGCCACCGCTGGACGGCCGTTTCTCCGAACGGGACGAGGCCGCATTCTGTTGTACAGGCGATGTGTGATGGGATGATCTATGAGCTATTTTCTGATATGTATCAAGTGTTGTGTCATGAGACATGTTATGCGATGTATTGAGTGATGTATTATGTGATTTGTCAAGAGACATGTTATGAGATGTATTCAGTGTTGTGTTTTGTGGTTTGTTGTGTAATATATTAAGAGATGTGTTCTGGATTGTATATATTTCCCGTGCCGTGCGCGTGTTGTGCTGTTTGTAAGGTCTATTCTGTAGAGACCACTGTGGCTCATTGTTGAGTGTCTTTGTATTGGAAGGTTGCACGGTCTGTGTCACCGCCTGGGTATGCTGGCGTGACGTCTGTGCTTGTGTCGCCTTCCCCTTCTTGGGCGATACAGATGGGAAGAAATACAGCTCAGCATTTTTCTTTCCATCTGTACCCTGTGCTCCTAACGTCCTGTGCTTAGGAGTATTTGACTGTGAGTGTGCCTGCGTCTGTGAAGTGAACGCGTTCGCGAGACTTGCCTCCGGGCTGTTCTTCTGCACGCTTATACCATCGGTACTTGCGGCGGTATGTACTTGCGGTAACCGTTGCTCGTCGCGGGTACTCTGGGTACTCTGACCCGTAGGTCTGTATCTATACTTAACGTCTTCTTCTCGATGTAGGCTTCTACAGTTCTCAGGGGTTGCTGTACCGTTATCCCACCCTCGTCCCGCAATCCTCCTCTCCCCTCCCTCAGGTATATATGGCTGCCTATGTTCGCTATTATCTACCTTCACATCACTGCGGTTCTCACTATAATCATCCCTACCATGACCACCACTACTACCATTCCCAAACGGCGGCGACGGTATGCCAATCAGCGCCAGCGGACACACCGGTTGCAGAAACTCGTGCATCAGACAGTCTCTGGGCATAAGCCGTTGCTCGGCGTCATACTGCAGCAATCCCCGCAGCAAATCCAAGAAATCATTGTCCGCAGTTGGCATCAAGTCTCTGAGTTTGCCCTGCAGAGTCCCATCATTGTGCGCTGTGTCGAAGAGATTGGATTTGCTGGCGTACGAGCGGTAGTACTTGCCTGCCCGGTAGGACGGGGGAGGAGGGCTGAGGAGTCCCGCCATTTCTATGGCTAGGTCGGTGCGAGTGCGTGACCGGAAGAGCACGTGGCCTCGGTACAGCTCCACCAACAGACAGCCCAGCGACCACATGTCGATGGCTTTATTAAACGGCAGCCCGTACACCACCTGTGGTAGTATACGCAATTTGCAACAAACTATTAGTATAAGTACATTGGCAGTGCACGTTGTTTGAAGATAATTTGTGGGGAAAATCAGGGTATGAGACATTTGAGTTAAGCAGACATCGTGGGAAGCTAAAGTGTGTAGAAAAATTGGGCAGTACACGTTGTATAAAGCAAATGCGAACGGCTATGAAGAAAGGCAGTCCGGAAACCACCCACCCGTCGCAGCTACGGTATGATAAGGTTTGTATAAGAAATTTGGCATCGCACATTGAAGTGCAAGTGACGCTGACTCTGATGAATGGCAGGCCATGCACCATCTATGGCCGTGAAAATCATAAGCAAACACAGGGTAGGAGAAATCTGACACACAAGCATTGTTAAAAGCTAAAGTATATGACTTTCGTAGAAGGTTCCCCTTACACTGCCTGTACCGGTATCAACCATAATCAATATGGAGAGCTCGGCACTGAATTTCGTTTGAAATTGAAGTGTCGTTTATTTTGGTGAGAGGCAACCCATACACCACCGGTAGCAGAAGGAAGCATACACTTGGTATGATTAATTTGGCATTGCCCAATGTTTGAAGTAAAGTGCCAGGGTGACTGGTATTCTCTGCACTACCCGTTGCGTGTACACAAATATATACCATGGGTTTATAGCAGGTACTTATTCAGGTGCGTCAAGATGTGGCCTCTCACACGATATCTCTGCACACACACGTACCAAAATACCCCAAGCGCCCAATTCGAGAGGCCTGGTATTAAGAGTATTCGGTCCGATCTGATTACGTGTCCTACACGGCATTCCCGATATTTATGCCTATTAATATACACGAATATACTCTAATGTATCAAAACTAGTACCAAACCAGGTACATCATGATAAGCAGGCACACACAGCATGTACGTACACACTTGCGACCAACGTACCTCAGGGGCTCTATAAGAGAGGCTCTGTATCTCAAAATCCTGAAAGTATTCGGCCAGATCAGATTCAGTGTCCCACACGGCATTCCCGAAATCACACAGCCGCACGCCCATACTGGACACATCGCCCCTGGGATCCGCCAAGTCACACAGTACATTATCTGGCTTGAGATCTGCGTGTATCACACCGTTGTCTCCCAGTAGCATCAGCGCTGTGCACAGCTGGAAGGTGATGGTCCGCAGGCGCTGTGTGCGGCTGAGGGGTTCGCCTTGGGGTAGACTGAGTGGGTAGGGGCTTAGTACTGGCAGTAGCAGTCCCAGACAGTCTTGGGCCACACCCCCGAACAAGATGTTGCGCGTGTGTCCGGCGGGGTCGGCGTCTTTGAGAACTGCCAGGATCTCGCATTCCTATTATGGTTTAGCATTCGGAGGATAAAGGTTATTCAGCCGTGCTTTTGGAAGGGCAAGCGAGCATTTAATAGTATACTATTGCAGTTGTATAGACTAGTATTGTCGTTGACGGAGTGGTAACCCGTTATGGTGGTGGCCCTTCGTTAAACTTGGCACATAAGGCCTATTTTCTATACATATTCGGAAAGTGTAATCATCGCAGATCAATATGAATATGGACAAGGCCCACCGTTGTGGTATTTTAATCAAATTGTGAACCACAGATAAGAAAGCGTTACAATCGAAACTGTAGTGGAACAGTACAAAAGTCCATTGTGAACCAACGCAATTAGTCTCGTCGTACCTCGAATCCTTCCCAACGATTCCCTATAGAAACCTACATATCATGCAATGAATGATCGATATCGTATAATCTATACGGTGCAGCAGAAGCTACGCATTGAAACCCACATACGGACGGATTTCTACTTTCTACATAGACATCAGCTCACTTACCTCTACGGATTGCATCTAGCTTTCTAATACGCGCAGGCATATACATTATGCGTAAGCAGATATGTGTTCATGTTATCATCATAAATTTCCATACACAAATCACTTGCTAACATAAATTCAAGAAATAGCTCTTGGTACCGATAAATACCACCAGTAGTAAAACGCGCAAATAAATAGTTCCACACGAGTATCCACTACCAATAATTGACGAAAACGAAGGCTACTAGTTGAATACATACATACACAAGCATCTACACATACCCGGGCAGCTATTGGGGCATATTCTGCGTAATACACCTTTAAAGCGAGGTTCTGACACTTGTGCGTCGATCTATCGACTACTAGATAGGTCTGTGAGAAGCGTCCTTTCCCGAGAAGTCGCACAACCCCATACCTATCATCCACCATCGACCCAATCCTCAACAAGCTCATAATTTTACTCTCTCGATCGTTCACACGAGTGAGTGTACGTTGTCTGTTATTATTGATTATTCCTGACATCACTATTGTGCTGTGACTGTTGTGACGGATTATTTTGTGTGCTTGAGTTTGTGACTTCGCACCATACGTACACCGCTGGAGGTATATTCATCTGTACAAGTATGTGTATTGCGCGTGCCGATCACCACAGTACCGTCAACCTGATCTTTGGTATATGTGAGGTATTGGTGGCATATCTTTGGCGTGTTATTCCTCACCCGTGCTTGATGCAATGTGACGACAATACGTGGTGCATGCAACGATTACGCTGAGCATTTGAAAACTATAACAGGGCAGAAAATCCCATTTGCTGTATGTTAGTGTCTCTCGCTCATTTCATATGCCTACAGAGTACGATATCAAATTTATTACACTTAATGTACCGTAATCAATATTATTTGGTATAATAAACCGCTATATTCATATTGCCGGAAATTGGCGGGAAAATGTACGGTACCGAACGATATTTCTAGACGGTTTAACTTTCCACCAATGAGCGCGTGAAATAATGGGACGACGACAACATGTGTCAAAATAATGTCAAAAAAAAGCCATTCGCCATCATCGTACGACGAGCAATCAAAACTTTCGGTTCGGCACATCGCACGAGTTAGAATGTAACTATGTACTTTTGACATGCTACTACGTCTACGGAATACTGATATTATTTACTATAGGCCAAGCACTGATAAATTGGCAGCAATGCATAGGAGTAATTATTTACAACACTTCTCTTGTGTGAAGGTAAATACCCCACACTCCAGGGTTAATAAATTCATTGTGAGGTTAATATATAGCAATTTGAAAAAAGGATACGCATCCCTTCGAATTTTTGTATTGTTGGGAGTGCTGTGTAGTGAGTGTACACGTATTGTGCAAGTTTACGATGTGTTTAGTAAAAACTGCCGCAGGCGCCTCTAAGGGGGCCAAGGCAGTGCCCAGTGATCAAGCGAATGCGAAGTTGCAATCGGTAAGTGAATGACTACTCGTAAAGTATAGTTTGATTGAGTTGAATCAAAACGATAGGAATAAAACGCAAATCAGGCCCACCGCGCCAGAAAGATGAGTTGTGATAGTATCGATTGCTCGCACTATAGTTTGACTGAGCCTATGAAGACAGGTAATAATATACAAATTAGATTAACTGCACCAGTTGGATAGATTCATACAATAACAATTAACTGGGAAGCGCTATTTTGTGGTGCTACAAATACATTTCAATGTCAATAAGTATCTAATATAGTATAACCACAAGGAACGAATATTACTTTAACAAATCTAGTGCCAAAACAAACTTGACAGACCCGTAACTTCTCCCCACCTTTTATGCAGTAGTGCGCTCTGGCTATGCAGTAGTACAGATCGTAATATTGATGCATGCATATCACTTTAGTCGTGATATATTTATCTCCACATATATAAGCACAACTTCAACAGGCTCACTATTTCATACGAGTGCCTTGGACTTACATATCTGACCCTTTAAAGTGAACTGAATCCGACCCAGATACTGAAAGTACACCCTTATGATGGCTGCCACTGTCGCTTGGACGACAATATTAGTCATATTGTTGCTGTTCATAGTATCGAGAGGTTTGATTCTTTTTTTGTAGGTTGCCGACAGTATGGATTCGGACGAGGCACAGTCTCAAATCTCGTATAATTTTCAACACAAATCTATCTAAATTCGGAGTTATCCCTTCCTATCTAATCAACTAACCGAAATACATCAACGCTAATATCACAGGGAAAGGATGAAGCGAATGAGCCCACATGGGGACGTAACAAGCACGTCAAGCCTTTGACCTGGGTCATAGTCGCGTTTCTGCTATTCTTTGCTCCAGTCATTGTGGAGTATGTCGTAGTGTGTATGACACAGTACGATGGAGCACTGAGTGGACCGATCAACGATCTGTTTTTAGCTGAGGAAACCATTACGTTTTCCGAGTTTTTGATCGAGAAGGTAGGTCGAGGCATGAGAATGCGTTTAGTCTTGAGCGTGTATATCCGTTCATAGAAGAGTGATTATCATGCATTCCATGGTGATGAACAAAGAGGTTAGCAGAAGGCTAACTTTAGGATTTGGTTGTGTAGTTATCTATGCCGGTGAATGCTGCAATACAGGAGGAATGAAGTGCTGTATATGTTGTGGTCCTACATAAAGGGTTCCGTATAATGAAGTGAATAACGTGCCTGCGTTCATATAGTCTATCATTGTGTCGTGGATTTTTGCCTAAAATTTAATAGTCTATATAGATGTTTTTTTTAGTATACATGGCTTGTAGCATACATAACTTATGTTATTCCGTAAATGTGCGCGCATGTTGTACTACGTATATACAGCTCATTTGTATAATGTAAATGCATACCGCTGAGGTCGCCAGAGACACTGGGACTCAGTGTTCTTGCCTACTTACACAAGCACATCAATGTGCGTGGCATTTCTGTTGCGCAGCAACCATAGACACGTTCGCAGTATTGTTGTACACACAAACACACGCATACACACGCACAAACACACGCGCGCGCACATGCACACTTTTTATATATCTATAATGTATATATATATATATATATATATATATATATATATATATAATATTCTCAGTGGTAGGGCTTCACTCACGGCTATGCTATACAGACACCACATGCCCATCTCACTCATGCTAGTCCTGTAATATGTTACTATGCCTTCCCATCAGGTGTACAAGCCTATTGCTGAACCCGAGGGGTTTTTCTTACAAACGGCAAAGATTTACGTCACGTGGTTGCTCTTCCAGGCGTTGCTTGCGGTCACTGTCCCTGGACCCATCGGGTATGTTCTCAAAACCCTAAAGCCCTAGTACCCTAGACAATATCACTGATTATTTCGCACAATTTTTGGGAATAATAGATCTCTTCTTCTTTTGTGTTATTTTCAAATATAGACATGACCAGTGGCTGTCGATTGGATATGCAATAGTTTCAAATACTTACTAGATGTTCTAATTTTGGGTACTGTGGTGATATGGTTTGTTCCGGGATTAGTTGATATCTTTGATGATTGGCATGCAGGGAGTCAAGGTAGGATGCCAGTCATCTACTTGTCTGCCAGCACTACGGCGGAGCGTACGCAATCGGTTTCTTAGTTGTGTGCGTTTGTTATTAGGAATGCAGCATGGATTGCTTATAATTATTTTGTTGCATTCGATTAGCGGCAAATAATATCAACATATGGTGAATGCTCATAGAGTGTTCGTTACCCGCTATGATTTTTGTAGTCAAAAGCCACTATCAATGTCGTAGTGAAATGAATATGCTGCGTCAAGTCTCTTTGTTGGACTATCCCCGGGAACTGATATGGCTCACAGAAGCCAGGTTTGTAGACTGGATTGATAATATACATAGCACAATTTATAACTTGTATCCCTGTTCTTGGTTTTGTATACACCACTAGATATGGACAATCCACACCAGCTGGGCATAAGCTCGAGTATCTGGTGAACGGGCTTAACTGCTGGGTGGTAACGCATATTTTCTTTGTGGTTGGTGCATGGGGCTTCGGATGGTGGAAACCAACGATCATTTATGACCACTGGGCTCAGGTAAGTTTTGCTGAATATGTGGACTGTTCCAACAAAGTGGGACTAATTTGACTCTATACCCACACACAAACACACACACATACATACA